CAAACCAGCAGGTAGAGAGGGGAGGGGAGAAGGCTGACATGGCCCCTCACCTTAGAAAAAAGCTGAGTGCACCATTAGCTCTCAGCTGGTGCCACACAGTGCAAATAGGGCAGAGCCCCGGCTGAGGAGCCCAGAAGTTGCAATTAAAAGCCCTCACCCGCCGTCTGGCCCTTTCTGAAGCACTTTTGGTGCTGTCTGCAAGCACTCCTGGGGTAACTCATGTTGTCTGAGCAAATACACTCAAGCCGAGTGCTTTGTGGGCAAAGATTAATTGCCACTACCATTCTTTTGTTTGCCTGCGTGGGTAACTAAATTGCTTTATACTTATTGATGTAATGACTTGCTTTCATAGAATTTACCTTTCCTTTGTTATATAACAAACATTTAAAATACGTTTAAAATATAAATTGATGACTTTTATTTATTTTTTTGATGAGTTACTTAAAATGCTGGAATTAATCAGGCTGGGAAGGACCATGTATTTAATTTACATAACACATGTCATATATGGCTTAGTGTGCAGTTATCTGGAATACAGTAAGAACACTTGGGTGTAGGAAAGCATTCCTTCACCATATTTTGATATTTCAGCTACTATATTAAATTAATCTGAATATTGGGAGTTTTAGTTCAGTTACTGTTATTTACTTTAAAGAATGAAGCAAATAAAATCTATATCAAATTAACAAGCGATATGATTTTTTAGCCTAAATTATTCTTACATGCAATATTTAAATAATGTAAAATAATTCCTTCTTTTGCATTCAAACTTAAGTTCTTAAACAAAAAATTTAAAAGTGCTCGTGTGAGAGATAATATAGATGTTTATAATTATCCAATTTTCTTTTAAATGAAATGTGTGTGGAGCCTAGCAGTTGTTTGCAAGAATGGAAATACCATAGCACACTTCCTAAGTAAGACAGGTGGTGGTCGGTTTTTCTATTTATAATGAGGCCATTTGTGAGAAAAATGAAGATTACTTGCAGAGAAATGTTAAACTGTAGCAACTTTCTCGTCGATCGGCTGCCTTTCACCCTGGAGGAAGAGTCGTGTCCATGGATTTGGGCTGGGGGAGAGTGGGTGTTCCGCGGGGGCTGTGCGCATCGCACGCGGGTCTCCGCAGCGCGGCAGGTGAGCGCAGCCCTGCGCGGGAGGGAACGCATCTTGCTCAACAGCGCCCTCTCCCGACAAACCAGGAGAATTCCTGGGCTCCAGAGCCCCGTTCTGAATTCTTCAAAAAATGCCATTGGCGGGGAGGGATGCCGGTGAGGGGTGCTATGGCTTGGTGACCTGTACCAGGACTCACGGCAAGCGATCAAAATTAGACTACAATCTAAATTTGAGGGAAGGCCTCAAGGCCCTGTGTCCTGAGCAGCGGGGCCACCGTCACCCCCCTGGAGTCCCTACCACACCTAGAGAGCTATCTCCCTCTCCTGCCTGGAAAACCTAAACCGTTCTTGACCTCGGTTGCATTTCTCTCTTGGCCACTTGCCGGCACTGCAAGGAGGCAGTTTCCTGGAAGAGGACAGAGACTGTTCTCCTGGGCCTGTCCTATCTGCCAGCCTTGGCCTTAGCCCTGGGTCAGAGGCACACATGGGAGAAGGCCCACACTCGCTGGAAGTCTCTCTGCTCCCTCCTGTTCTCTTGCTCTTGAGAAAACACACCCAGAGGCCAAGGGGGGAGATCAGAAGTTCAACACCAGTCTGGGCAATGTAGTAGTGAGACCCTGTCTCTAAAATAAAAATAAAAATAAAAAGGAAGAAAACACACTCACAAACACATACCTACATACCTTAAACACAGAGCTTACCTTGGATACATTTCTGTTCCTGTGTTCAATTATAATACATCAATATCTAGACATTTCCCTCATCAGAAAAGGATCTTGAATATGATCCTTCTAGAAAATAGTCAGGATATTTGCAGTGTAAAATTTTTAAAGCTGTAAATGTTTCTGGCGTAAGGTTTTTAAAGTTTATAAAGGTGTACTGTATGTTTCACAGAGGCTAGTTAGAACCAGGTGTCTTAAAGAAGCAATTTTTTCTCTGCGCCACCTACCGTTGCCTTTCGGTGTCCTCCAAAGTCTGCCTGTCAGGTGGACCCTGTCCCATCTTGGGGTGTAAAATTGTCTTTCGCAGGACAGGATTGCTTGTGGTGGTAGAGGGAGCCTGAGGAGCATTTTATAACTGCAAACCGAGCTTAACACAGAACTAATTTCCTGTAGCACCCAAAAAGTGAACAACTTTATGGAAAAGATTTTGTTCCAGAGAACCTCATTGTACTTCCTTTAGCTCATCAGTGTATTACAAAAATGTGGCTGATAAAGCGTAATGTCTGCAGAGGCTCCCGCAGGCTGATTTGCTCACAGATGTCATGTACACACACAACCCCCCCCCCCGCCCCCGTCCCAAGGTCCCTGATCTGGTTCCCACTAAGCTCTGTGGAATCCAAGGGCCTTGTCTCTCAGATCCACTGTCTCAGCCCATCTCAACTCATTTTCAGGTCATCCCAGCATGGTCCAGAACGCCCCACTCCCCACTCTCCACGGTAACTAAGCTTTCGGAGACCTGAGGTCAAACGACAATTTCTGGCTTCTCGGCCTCTGGGATAACCTGGCTATATTTCAGGCCACATCCATTCAGGCCCAGCACCCTCAGGGGTTTGGGCAGAGCAGGGTCAACCCTGGACAGGTAGAGTGTGACTGTCCCCTTACCTTCCCCGTGACCCTGCTCAGAGGTTAGGATGGATAGACCTGGCTCTCTGCTGTGTCCTGTCTTCACTAAAGTTGTCCTTAGCTGCCTGGTGCTCAGACTAGCTGCCCCTCTCCTTGGCTCTTGCTACTCAAGTGGTCACCAACCTTTGGATGCTACTGAAGTATACCTGGACTCTGTCCTTCCTTTCCTTTCCCATCGCTGTTACCTGCACTCACATCTTTATAACCTCTTGCCAAGACTGGTACCTTCCTTTCTTCACCAATATGGTCTATGCACCTCTCCCAGTGGCCACCACTGTCCTTGAAATACAGATCTGATTGTTGAACTGTCTGGCTCAAGAATCGGTCAGCAGTGCCTGTATCTAGAATCAGACCTAAACTCAGTAGTGGGTATTCACGGTGCTCTGCCATCAAGACCTCTGAGCGTCACAGCGTCTCATTCGTTACACACTGGGCTGCACACTGTTCCCCGCCTGTACCCTCTGTTTTCTCACCCCTCTGAATCTGATGCTTTCCTCTGTCACGATAGCCTCTGAATCGCGCACCCACGTGCCACAGATGTCTCTGCCAGGCCCTGCACGGACCCTTTCCTGATCCTTCTCTCCACTTAGAGTCATGAGTGTCTTACCATGTTATGTTTTGTAGCTTAGTCATTTGCATACCTGCGCACCTGTCCCGTTAGACTGCAAAGTGCTTGGACCAGGGCACTGCATCCAACCCTTTCCATCTTTGAATCCCGCACAGTGCCTGGGACATTTCGGGCCACAGTAAACGGAACAGGGGCTTATCAGGTACTGCTAAGGTGTTTAAACTCTCTCAAATTGGTACAGAACATTTGCAGACTACTGAGATTCTGTTTTTTAAAACTTCAGGATGTCACCTTCAGAGGCTCCTTGACTATGTCTGTGTTTGGATGTGTCTGTCTTTACAGCCTGAGCCTGGAGGTGCCCAACAAACTTTTGGATCAAAGGGAGCCTTTGGGTTTCAGCATCCTGTAAGGTAATATATGACTTCGCATTCAGAAATCTGTAATTTCCTTTTAACAGAAGCATTAATACACTTTCGTGTCTTTGACCATATAAATTTTCAATAAAGTGGAAAATAATTCAATATATTCTTCGATATTATTTAGTTTCCTCAGACCAAGGAACTTGAAGATATTTTGTTGGGTTTCTGGAAACCATTCATGTGTTCATTCATTCGGTGTTTCGGCCGCAAGGTGCAATTGGTCTCTCTCTCTTCTTTATACCTTTATTTACGCTTCTCATTACATGTTATGCCTTGGGTTAAATTTAATCGCATATGAACGGGATATGCATATCTATTTATTTACTTAGATACTGGGGCACATTTCTGTTTCTCTTCCAGGATATAAGCTAATACATTGTCTAGTGCAAAGCAGACTGTCAGGATCTGTGTGTTGAGTAACGAGGGGAGGAGACGGCCCCGGCACAGCGGCGCAGCGCGCCTTCCACAGAGTGTTTTCCTCCAGCCTCTCGGCTGTGCGTCCGTGGTCCCGACAGTGACCAGCATTTTCACTGCTGTATCCTGCCTACATTGCATCCATTTTAGAGCTTTTATCTGTCTTATTCTCTCCCTCTCAATCTCTCATTTCTTTCACCAAAATTAACCACTCCTCGGGGTGTTTTTGCCCTGGACATCCCGGAAGGTTACCCTAGAAAGCTTTAATTATCCCAAAGACACTCATTTCTAGAGATGAAATTCAGAGCCCCTCAGCTTGGTTAGAGGAAAGCCTTCCTGGTATCCTTACATTAGTGGTTTTCAATCCTCATAGAATCAATGGGGCAGCTTATGCCGTGACTGCAGAGGCACGAGCCACAGCCGTGTAACTGTGCATCGCACGCTGGATATATAATTTCATTTTACGTTTTTATTACAGAAGATTTCAGACAAACACAAAAGTGGAAAGAATAGTACAGTTGGGGCCGGGCGTGGTGGCTCACTCCTGTAATCCTAGCACTCCGGGAGGCCGAGGTGGGCGGATTGTTTGAGCTCAGGAGTTCGAGACCAGCCTGAGCAAGAGCGAGACCCCGTCTCT